GTCCCGGTCAATCCACCATCAACCACAGCAGCTATCACCAGAATTTGATCGTGTTTTTGTTGTTAGCTGCTTTCAAGACAGTCCTGAAAAGATTTACAGCCACAACTGCATACCAACCCTATACAGAACAGAATGAAACACTATCTGGCCCTGCAACATCCTAATGATTGGCTGGAGATCTGAACATTATGATCCACATGGTTTTCATTGACTGATTTTCAGAAGTAGATCATCATGCCTTTCTTTCTTTCTTTTTCTTTTCTAACTTTTTATTGTGAATTGACTGAAGATTTACAGACACAATCATCAGTTTTACATTCAACAATTCATGCACTTCATTGTGTCACAATGACAATAATCCCCTTCAGGCAACAAAAGTTACCCCACTTCCTCCCTGTGCTTTCTATTTGCAGTCCACCCACCTTCCCATCCCTTTTCAACTTTATCCTTAGGCCAATGTTGCCCTTTTGATTTTAAATGATTGCCCATTTTATGGTGAGCATATCTTTCTAGTGTTGCTGTTCCCTCCATATACCTATCTATAATTTAGCTGAAAATAGGGCCATGAGGATGAGTTCCGTTCCCATCCTGAAGAAAGGGTGGATGAGGGACCTAGTGTCAGGTTCCTCCAGTCTCTTACCTACTGTAAGCCTGATCTCTTTTAATAATTTTGAGTTTTGTTCTACGTTTTCTGCCACTGTCTCTTGGACCTGATAGTGTGACTCTTTCAGAGCAGTTGGTAGTGATGGTGAGGCAACATCTAGTTCTGGTCTCAAAGTTGTGGAGATTGATGTTCACATGTTTTATCAGTCTACTGAACTAACTGAATCCATGCATCTTCAGCTCTCATCACTCTTGTTTCTTTTGCACATGGAGGGCTCAATAGTTGCACCTTAGATAGCCTTTCCCAACTCTTTAAGATTCCAGATGCTACGCACCAAAGAAGTATATGATTGACCATTGTAGTATATGATAGAACATTGCCTTTATGGATTACATTACGCCAATTGACCATGGTGTTCATTGAGACTATGGTCCTGAGACCCGAGGCAAAAAAACTCATTGCCTTAAAATGTTTGATAACATCTGAAATGTTGTCATCACTTTGCCCACTGTATGCTCTATCACATTCATTCATGCATTTGTAGCAAAAATAAATATCCATGCACAAATACTCTTTTCAAGTTCTTATATATTTGTGGGTATACTTCTATTCTGACTCCCATACTCATTCATCCTGTGTCTCTGCCCATGTACCTACCCATAGAACACTGCTGTTTCAAGGTTGTGTATATAAAATTGTTTAGCTCTTGCATACCTGTTTGTGTTTTCACCTGTCTTCATCATTCTTCTGTCAACCTTCTTCTTTTCCATTGCCCTCCACACTAACCAAGTTAACACGTGTCTACCCTCTAGCCAGTGATTTACTCTCCCTTCCCTCCCAACTCTGACAACCATCAAATAATATATCTTTTAACATGAAAACCTTTTCCTGAGTTATTACAATAGTGGCCTCTTACAATATTTGTTCTTTTGTGATTAAATAATTTCACTTAACATAATAGCCTCCAGGTTCACATATGTTATGAGGTGTTTCACAGATTCATTATTGTTCTTCAACTTTGCATAAGTAGTCCATTGTATGTATGGACCAAAGCTTGGAAGAGATCCATATCTGTGCCCATTGCAAAGAGAAAAGATTCAAGAGAGTGAGGAAATCATCTGGCAATCTCTTTGATATCCCATGAGAATGAAGTTTTACTAACGGTAATGCAGAAACAGCTGTAAGCATACATTGACAGAGAACTTCCAGATGTTCAAGCCATATTCAGGCCATGGAATGAGGGATATCATTGATGATGTCTGATGGATCTTGGATGAAAGCAGAGAATATCAGAAAGATGCTTACCTGTGCTTGATTGACTACACAAAAGCTTTCAATTGCATGGATCATGACAAACTATGGGCAACATTGATAAGTATGAGTATTCCAGAACACTTAACTGTGCTCAAGAAGAATCTGTACATGGACCAAGAAGCAGTTGTTCAAATAGAACATGGGAACACTGACTGGTTTAAAAATAAGGAAGATGTGTGACAGGGTTGTATTCTTTCACTATACTTATTCAACATGTATGATGAGCAAATAATCCAACAAGCTGAGTTAAATGAAGAAAAACTTGGCATCAGGATTGGAGGAAGGCTCATTAAACTGCAATATGCAGATAATACAACCTTGCTTGCTGAATGTGAAGAGGACTTAAAATATTTACTGATGAAGATCAAAGACCATAGCCTTCCATATGGATTGCATCTCAATGTAAATAAAACAAAAAACTTCACCACTGGACCAATAAACAACATTCTTATCAACAAAGAAAAGACTGAAGTTTTCAAGGACTTCATTCTTCTTGGATCAACCATTAACATCATGGAAGCAGCAGTCAAGAAATCAAATAATGTATTGCATTAGGCAAATCTGCTGCACAAGACCTTTTTAAAGTGTTGAAGAGAAAAGATGTCAGCTTGAGGACTAAGGTACATCTGACCCAAGCCATGGTATTTTCAATAACCTCATATGCATGCGAAGGCTGGACAGTGAATAAGGAAGACTATAGAAGAATTGATGCTTTTGAGTTATGGTGTTGGAGGAGAATATTGAAAGTGCCATGGGCTGCCAAAACAACCAACAGATCTGTGTTGGAAGAAGTGCAGCCAGAGTGCTCCTTGGAGGCCAGGATGTCCAAACATCATTTCTCATCCTTCGGATGTATTGTCAGGAGGGACCTGGAGGAGGATATCATGTTTGGTAAGGTAGAGGGTCAGAGATAAACAGGAAGACCCCCAGTGAGATGGATTAGCAAAGTGGCAACATCAATGGGCTCAAGCATGGCAACAATAATGAGGTTGGCCCAGGACCGGGCAGTGTTTCATTCTGTTGTGCACAGGGTCGCTATGAGTTGGTACTAACTCAATGACACCTAATAACAACAACACCAAAGTTTGTCTATACGTTTTTCCACTGATGTGCATGTAGACTGTTCCCATCTTTTTGGTATTGTGATTAGTGCTGTGATGAACACTGTTGTGCATATATCTACTCATGTCCTGGCTCTTATTTTTTGTGGCTATACACCAAGTAGAGAGATTGCTGGGCCATAAGGTATTCTTATTTGCAACTTTTGGAGGAAATGTCATACTGTTTACCACAGTGGGTGAACTATTTTACAGTCCCACCAGCAATGTAATAGGGTCCCAGTCTCTCCACATTCTCACCAGCGTTTGTTGCTTTCTGTTTGTTCTTTTATCTTTGCTATTAATGCTGGAGTGAGATAAGATCTCATTTTTGGTTTTATTGGCAACTTTCTAATTCATCAGGCCTTTCTTCCTAGTCTATCTTAGCCTGAAAGCTCCAATGAAATCTACTCAGCATCATAGTAGCACCAAGCTTCCACAAAGAGGCAAGTAGTGGCTATACAAGAGGTGTTCTCATGGAGAAATGAATGCAGGCAAGAATTCTACTGCTGAACCACTAATGCTCCATATTTTGCACAAGTTGCTGTTGTTGCTAAGCACTGTTGAGTTGGTTCTGGTGCATAACGACTCTGTAAAGGGTTTCCAAGGAATGGCTGAGAGGTTTGAACTGTCAACCTTGAAGTTCAAGCCAACCTTGAGGTCCAGTGCATTATCCTGCAGCACCCTACCAGGACTTCCAATTTACTATTACCCACTAATTAACGTACGCCTGCTATTGTGCTGTGACAAACTGCAAATTAGATACAGCCCACAACTTCATTGTGTGAGACACGCAAACACAACTCAGCATTAGTGAATAGAAGTGAGAAGGCATATTTGGTAACAGCAGAGATTTGTGTGAAAGAAATGATATCTTCATTTTCAGCCAGAGTTTTTATATGTATATCATGTCAGTCATATAAAAAACTGATGAAATAATGATTAGATTTTATATTTATTTCAGTTAGATATGGGATGTACAATTGGTTAAGTACTTGCTTATTAAACAAAAGACTGTTGTTTCAAACCCACCCAGAAGTGCGTCAGAAAAAAGGCCTGGCAATGTATTTCTGGTTACAGTCTTGAAAATCCTGTGGTGCACCATTCTACTCTGCACACATGGAGTCACTATGAGTGGGGACCCATTCAACAGCAATAGGTATACGTGTGGGCAGAATCCCATCTGGGTTTTCTCTGTTCTATAAACAGGCTTTATCATTCTAAGGTGTGTCTTAGGCCAATCACTTTTCAGATACAAAAGGAGTAACTGAAGCATAGAGTCAAGGACATACTGGGGATGATTTATTCCACACGGAGATCACTAAGGAACCTAGGAACAAAAGGTGAAGATGGAGAGAGAGAAAGATTTTCCCTAGAGTCAATAATCCAAATTCAGACTTCCAGTATCCAAAACAGTGAGAAAATAAGTTTGTCCATTAAAGCCACCCAGTTGCACTGTTTCCGTTATAGTGGAAAGATTTGGGGATCACTTCAAACTAACTAGACGAAGAATGCAAAATAATACCCTTACATTTACATATGTAAAAAGATATGCATACATTAAAAAGTTTATTTTTTCCTTAAAAGCATATGTTTTCTTATATGTCACTTGTATTTATAACTTTACATGGCCTATCTTTTGGTTGACCAAAATCAATTTGAGTATCCAAATTCAATAAAAAAAATTCAACATGATCTTTACTCCAAATTTAAAATATGAATTAAAAAAAAAAAGTGTTAGCTTATGTCATGTTTTCTCATTAGTATTTATGGTAACCCATCAACTCTTGATTACCTTACATATGTATCTTAGATCGTGGCCTTATGTTAGACTCTGTCATTTTAAAACAACGATTCGTTGTTAAGAAAACAATTGGATATATAATGTACAAATATTCATTTTAACTCTTTTTACTAAAAGGGTTAATATATACTCTGAAAGGTCCACAGAGTACAATGCATTTAAAGGAAACAAGTTCTCCTACCATTCAGTAAATAATATAAGCAGATCTTCTTGACTGGCATAATGTTCCATGACTTCTTTCAGTAATCTCACTTTTTGGCCCCCTCCAATAGTGTTGATTCCATCACCACCTCTCCACTCTTCTCCTTGGCCAAGGACCTGTAAGTGAAAGCAATATTTCACCCCTGAGTAATACTCAAACTATGGAGCTCTGGTAGCATAGTGGTTACGAATCGGGCTGCGAACCTTAAGGTCAGTGGTCGAAACTACCAGCCTCTCCGCGTGAGAAAGATAAGGCTTTCTACTCCCGTAAAGATTTACACCCTCGGAAACCCTTTACAGGGTCACTATGGGTCGGAACCGACTCGACGGCACTTAACAACAACAACAACAACATAAGAAAAGAGCTGGGAGTCATCAGTAACTTGCACAGTATTGCAAAGTAATCACTCATTTAAAGTTTCACTACATCATGATGCTAGAATGAAACAACTTTATACTGAGGTCAGGTTATAACTCATCAATGCTATCCATTCCCAAGAAAGATCATTCCCAGTGAGATAATTTCAAAAAGCAACAAGTGTAATCCAAGGGGGAGGCAAGAAGATCTCAGAGAGTATTTCTCGTATTTTATTTCTATTCGTTCAGATTAAAATAAAAAAAGACATGAACAGATTTTTCACAAAATGTTTTCAATCTTACAGGAACACTGTAAGATGAACACTGAAATCCCATGAAGTTTAGTGACTCCTGTGGGTTTTAAGAGATTTTCCTACTGAACCAAAATAACTTATTTGGTGAAACACAGAGGAGGGCATCAGGTAAACACCTCCCTCCTTACCTTTAGATGTCTCAAACTATGCAAGGGTAACTCAAAAAGCATTGCTAAAAAATAATAGAAATCTTCATTATACAAAAATAACAAAATGTGAAGTAGCTATGATTTCCTGACATAATCTTCCATCTATGTCTATGCACTTAAGAAAGCAGTTTATCACTTTGGAATGCCAAAAAGTAGCCACCATAACTTTCTGAGCTACCTCTCCATCTTGAATTTAACTGACACAGCACATTCCCTCTGAAGCCACTGTTCTGATTGGACCATTTTTAACGACTTTTAATAGACTAAGACAAGTGTACTATTACCAAGACAACTTGCTGCAGCCATCCATTGATCACAGAGAGATGTTTAAAATGTTTTCTTTGGAATAAATCTGTCATGAATGAATTGGAACCCTACAAGTTAGTAAAACTCTTTTCCTTAACCTCGCATTAAGTAGAAAAGCTTACTAATAATTTGTCAATGCAAAAACTTGTCTAAGTACAATGAATTAAAGCTAACCCCGTAGTGTTTTTCTTCACTCCATGCTTAATTCTCAGGCAGCAGGCTCCTCAATTAGAACTGACACACTAACCTTGAGGAAACAAAGGTATAATAGCTTTCTATACAAATACTTCCTATCTTAGTTTTTTATAAAATCAAAGTCTGAAGTTGCCACAGTAATGATACATTAAGAAATTTGAGGGACTAAAAAGGGATCCAATGAAACAGGAATACAAAAGAATAAAATAAATATTGACAGCAGCATACATACTATAAGCTCCAAGTTTAAGTAACTTCAAACCAAATATAACTCCTAAAAGGCTTCTAGTCTTGTATCTCGTACCATCATTGTCAAAAAGACTCAGCAGACAGACCTCCCTTTCATCAACACCTATATTGAGGATAAATGTCAGCCTATCAAGGAAACTCAGATTGATGTAGGTCTGGTTTCATATTGGGGCCAATCAAAAATAATAATAATAATAATAGATCTTGCCCCCAAAACGTCCTCTCTAGCCCCAAGACTTGCTGCACAGGCTTTGTGTATTTTTCAATCTGGCAATAATGCCTGGAGCTAACCACATCTGTGAAATCTGCTCTACACTGTGCACTACACTAAGAATCACTCTATGTTCTTCAATCTTTAATGTGCCTCAAAATCACAGGGAGATCTGATTAAAACACAGACTACTGTATCCAAAATTGAGTTTTTATTTCTAGCCAGTTACCAGTGATGCTAATGTTGGTGGTCTAAGGACTACACTTTGAGAACCATTATACTACATAACAGAAAGACAACAGGTAAATCATTAACTCCAAAGTCAGTCAAATTAGGCTGGGTTCAAAATTTGATGCTTCATATCTGTGTACCTTTGGGCACGTTTTTCTAACCCTTAGAAAGGAAAAAAGTTAATATTTACCTTACTTGATGAATATAATATTAATCATTAGCATATCATAACAGCATATCACATATAAAGTATCTAACATAATGGTGGTGGTGGTATGTGCCGTGGAGTCAGTTCAGACACATAGTGACCCTATACAGGGTTATTTCTAACATAATACTTCTCATAAAAGACACATTCTACCCCTCCCCTTGTCTGAACCAAAAAAAAATACCCTCATTAGACTTCAGAATTATTTTACCCTGATTTTTTTATTACTTCAGTAGTGTTGTTGTTAAGTGTTGTCAAGTTACTTCCTACTCAAAGTGACCCTATATAGGGTTTCTGAGGCTGCACATCTTTCTGAGACCATAAGCTTCATCTTTCTAACACAGAGCAACTGGTGGGCTCGAACCACTGACATTATGGTTTTACAGAGCCACTGCACTCCCAATAGTATCTCCATTGGAGCAGACTTCTATACGTCTCACCTATCCAAACATATTTTTCATCCATCCTGTATTAAACAGCTGGGCATTAACACTAGATCCCTTTAGTAAAATTTAGGAGCTTTAGTACTGGTTCTATGTTAACATCTCAGTCTAGTATTCCAGTGGTTACATAATAAAACCTATTTTTTTTTCCTATGTTACCTATTAGACTATCTCTGTTTTCCCCCATGCAAAAAGCAAGTTTCTTCTCTTTCTGCCTAAGTTCTTTTCTTTCTCTTTTTCCTTCTTGGGACGTCTCATATTCTCTTAGCTGAAGAAAAGACTCTAGAGATAGACCTTCCTTTCTCAAAAGAAAAAAAAAAAGTGGCAGGAAACACTTTGTACAGTTCAGTTTATTAGATCTATCAAATTCTCGAGGTTCCTGTTGATGATTTATTGAGGAGAAATGAGATCTTTATGAAGCCCTTTGCCTTCTTGGTTATTTGGAAAAACAGCTTAACCTATTTCCCCCCTAAATTCTGAGGAGTTACATTTGCCTAAGTTTTCTACTAAGAGAGTTTATTGCTTTTGTAAGGCTGATAGATATTTCCTGGGTAACCTGTTAACAATTTGATTTTGATGCTTTTTGTCTGGCCCTGGACTGACCTGTGAATGGCATATTCCTTACAGTGATTGGCCAGTAGACTATGCAAATGAGGTGAATTGTAGCCTGATACACAAATGACTGAAGTTGTCAAGGACTTCAATCTTCTTGGATCAACTATCAACACTCACGGAAGCAGCAGTCAAGAAATCAGATGACGTATTACATTAGGCAAATCTGCTGCACAAGACCTTTTTAAAGTGTTGAAGAGAAAAGATGTCAGCTTGAAGACTAAGGTGCTCCTGACCCAAGCAATGGTATTTTCAATAATCTCATATGCATGTGAAAGATGGACAGTAAATAAGGAAGACCGTAAAACAATTGATGCTTTTGAGTTATGGTGTTGGAGGAGAATATTGAAAGTGCCATGGGCTGCCAAAAGAAACAATAGATCTCTTTTGGAAGAAGTACAGCCAGAGTGCTCCTTGGAGGCCAAGATGGCCAAACTTCGTCTCTCATATTTTGGACATACTGTCAGGAGGGACCAGTCACTGGAGAAGGATATCATGTTTGGTAAGGTGGAGGGGCAGAGAAAAAGAGGAAGACCCCAACGAGATGGATTGGCCATGTGGCAGCATCGATGGACTCAAGTGTGCCAACAGTAGTGAGGTTGGCCCAGGATCGGGCAGTGTTTCGTTCTGCTGTGCAGAAGGTCATGATGGGTCAGTACCGACTCGATGGCACCTAACAACAACAACAACAAACACAAATGAAGTGTCTCTGACCCCAACAGTTCTGTTTGTGGACCTGGTTGAAGTGCCGTATATTGAAAAATCATTCCAAAGAGGTTTTAAGAATACAAAGAATCAGTAAGATAAGCAGCAGGAAGAAGCAGAAAGGGAAAAAAAGAAGCAGAAGAGACAGAAAGAAGGCAAGGAATTTCCTAGAAGAGCTGAACATGATGAAAGGCCTGGAGAAGCCCTTGGCAGAAGAACCAGTAATGGTGCTCTCCAAAATCCCTGGCACAGTCTTTCCCCTGAAAGTTTCAGGGAGCTGTGATGGGAGATTGGATTCTTGGGAAGACTTTGGAGAGCAATCAGATCAATGAGGTCAGTCACTGAGTGGGGCACAGATTTGTTTCCTACTCAGGTCACAATACCATGGGCAATAGAAAGCTATGCAATGTGTACATAACTCTTGTAACAATGGCAATCATTGAATCACATTGAACTAGTTCAAAGCCCTGACGGGTCCCAAAAGTTATCCCCTTCACTCTCATGTCTCTAATTTTCTGTAAACAAACACACATGGTAGACAAACACAACATGGATAAAAATCTTCAAAGTACATAGAACAAAATCCTGTTAATCTTAGTTATATTGTGCTTGTATGTGATCCAAAAAGTATGTGTGTGTGTGCATGTGTATGCTGTGCTGTTCGGTGCTATGGAGTTCATCTCCATGCTATGGGTACATCCGAGTGGAGTTCAAAAAGATAATGGAATTTTTCCAGGAGCTTTCTGAAGCCCTCTCATACATACATACATATGTAAAAACATTTTCTATACCTTATTTATACAAAGCAACAGTAAATATTAAGAAATTATTGTGAAGTGATAGCAAGTTTAAAACACTTCCTTTAAAAAGTAACTATATATAAACTAACAAAATTAAAATCCCTTTGTGGATTACAGATTTTGTAAGGGAAATATTCTGACATCAACATGAATTAAAAGATATGCCATACCTTCACAGTATAATTGAAGTATTTGGCGGACTGCATGAATCGGTGGAATCCATCACTTTCTTTTGTTGCTACAGTTATGACTAATAATTTATCTGTAAAGACAGAAAAAAAAAAGGGGGGGGGGGTTACCAAGAGGTTAAACATTAGCACTTTACAACAGTGGTTCTGATGGGTAAGCACGGGACTACTAACCATAAGACCAGCCATTCAAGTCTCTAGCCTCTGTGGGAGAAAGATAAGGCTTCCTGTGCTCATAAAAATGTACAGCCTTTGAAACCCTATTTAGGGTTTCTTATGGCACTGGGTTTATAGCAAATTACAGACATCAGTTAAGTCCATGGAGGACTTTATTAGTATACATAAGACTAAACAAAGAGCTGTTAAAAAAAAAAAAAAAAAAAAAGGCAGTTCAAACTAGTTATGTTCCTGCCAAATGAAAAGTAAATTGTGAGGATTCTAACAGGACCTTACAAGCCAGAGGGAAACTGCTGTACTGGTTTGCTCTGTAGAGTAAGCACTGGACAGCTAACCACAGGTCGATGGTTCAAACCCACCAGCAGCTCCTCAGGAATTTCACAGGGTCACTATGAGTAAGAACCCATTCAACAGCACTTAACAACAACAATAGGATTAATTAAAAACAACTTGATATGAACAAATTCTAAGAGTAATTTAAACAACTAAATAAAAGCAAGCGTAATTTGTGAAAAAAAATAATAAATGCAAACTTTATTAGCAAAAAAGAGGGAAATGTTTCCATGAAGATAAATATCAATCAATATACTTAGATTTTTCATGGAAGAGGTATTTCTTACATTTTCATTATAAGAAATCAATACTAAAAGAAAAATAAAAGTAATTTCCCTTAATGTTATCAAGTCCCAAGGAAATATATTCCTAAGTACTTTGTCAATTCCCTACACTTTCTCTAAAGCAAAATTTCATTTACAGTTTCAAACAGGACTTAAGTGATGAAGAAAATTTGACATACTACATTCATAAATTTCAAAATAAAAAAAAATAGGTTTCATCTTGGAAAAATAAATAGCATACTACTTTAAGTATCCTTTCTCTTAATAAAATGAGTGCTTTAAAAGAATCTTTGATATTTAACTTTTTACATAACTCATAAGAATCGGTTACTAACTTCGGTTTTGACTGTCCAGATCTTTTTATAGAGCGAGTGAGCTACACCACAGATTAAGTTCAACATTACCATATGCAGCGAGCTGGCTATATTGCTAATAAGTCCAACATGTTTACATTTCTGAAATAAAATTTACAGTAGGAATTTCACCATCTCTAATATTGAAAACAATGTTGGCCAGACCTTCTGGTAGACAGAAGTGTTACTCAAGCTAATGACTCAGGCCAAGTTCAAAAAATGTAGTCCTACAATGCGTCAGACTGCAAAGTTGTTTGAACTGCAAGATCAGCGATTCAAGCTCACCAGCTGCATCTTGGAAACCCTAAACAGGGTCCCTATGAGTCTGAATCCACTGGACAGCACTTAACAACAACAACCATGCCTCACAGTCATATGCTACATAAGGATCCCTGTTGTTTCCCAGTATACCCCTCTACGCTTATCAACTTGGTTAGGTTCCAAAGAAAAGGTTGTTATATGAAAATTAGCATTATGCAAAAATGGAGGATGACCACAACCACACCGGACCCACAAAGTAGAGGACGAAATACATCATTACAAAACTGCCAAATTACATCATTACACAATTGGCAAACCATTGAGAATCATGGCCCAGCCAAATTGACTCATGATCTTAATTATCACAACCAGCATTACTTTCACCTTTCACTTCGGTTTTGATTACTGTTGGATGTACATCACTAATGTAAATAATAGGACAGTAATTTTTTTCACTGTTGCTGTAAATGTGGAATGTGGACTAATGAGAAAGCAGTAAGTAAAAGTAAGTGTACTACTGCTAACTGGAGTCCTCGTATGGCTGTGGGTTAATGTACTGTGGGTTAATGCATTGGACTGCAAAGTCAGTTTGAACTGCAAGACCAGCAGTTCAAGCTCACCAGCCACTCCTTGGAAATCCTACACAAGGTTGCTATGGATCAGAATTGACTCGATGGCACTAACAACAACAAACTGCTAATTATATAAAATAAAAAACAAGTGATAAATTTGTCATTTTTATTTTTAAAAGGTATGTTTTATAACATTATGTTGTTGTTGTTTTGAAGTGCCATTGAGTTGATTCTCACCCATACGGACCCTGTGTAGGGTTTCCAAGGAACACCTAGTGAGCTTGAACCACCAAGCTTGCAGTTCAAACAATTTTGCAGTGTGAAGCATTAGCCCACAGCGCCACACCAGGACTCCTGATAACATTATAGGCAGTTATAGGCAGTTGCTAAAGAGTTCATTTCATCAGCCTGTCTTTAAATCAGATTTGTATGTATAACAGAATAGTTAGGCATGGTTTGTCTCCAACATCTTTCTATGCATTGTTGTTGTTAAATGCCTTGGAGTCAGATTCTGACTCATAATATTAAAGAAACAAAGATACACTAAAACATCTTTAACTAATAAAATAGAAAAGCAAAAAAAACTCATTGCCTTCTAGTCAATCCTAACTCATAGCACCCCCTATAGGACAAACAAGAACTGCCCCACAGGTTTTCCAGGGCTGCAATCTTTGCAAAAGAAGATTGACATTTTTCTTCGATGGAATGGCTGGTGGATTTGAACCACTGACTTTTTGACTATCAGCCAAGTGCTTAGCCAGTGCACCACCAGGGTTCTTAGAATAGAATGGCAAAAACTATATAAAACTTGAATAATTATTAAGCCAATAATGAAATTTTGAGGATGAACTTTTTTTTTTTCTAAGTATAAGGTACAATGTTTTAATCAAGAAAACTATAATAAGGAAACCTTCCAACAATTACAGTGGCACATGTGAATAGTCTCAAAAGTATATTTTTTGAAGAACATTAATCTATATGTATAAACCATGTGATTTATTCAATCATTGATAAAAAGAAAAGCAAACTCTTCATA